AGCTCCAGGAGAGATGGGGAGGGACTCTTGATGAGGGAGGGGAGCCCTAGGAGGAGGGGGAAGGGTTTGACCCTGAAAGAGGGGAGATGGAGCTGAGATGTGGGGAAGAACTTCCTTGGTGTGAGGGTGGTGAGAGCCTGACCCAGGTTGCCCCGAGAAGCTGTGGCTGCCCCATCCCTGGAGGGGTTCAAGGCCAGGTTGGAGGGGGCTTGGAGCAACCTGGTGTGGTGGGAGGTGTCCCTGCCCAGGGCAGGGGGGTTGGAACTGGATGGTCTTTAATGTCCCTTCCAACCCAACCCATTCTATGCTTCTATGAAACTCCCTGTTGAATCTTACAGGTCGAGTTCCATCCTGAAAGTAAGAAAACCAACATATTTTTCTTTCAGATCCACTACAGGTGCTGAATTGTGATGCAGCAGTAATTCTCACTCTCCTGAAAATCACTCCAGTTCTGACATTTAATTTAATTTGTTTCTTTTCCATTTCTTTTACAGGCAACAATTGGCATCGACTTCTTATCGAAAACCATGTATTTGGAGGATCGAACAGTGAGTAAGACTTTTGTTGCTCTTCTCTATGTACAGTAGGACTGAGGCATCTGCTGTCGTTGTGCAGCCCCCGGTTCTGAGATCACTTGGAAGTACAGGCTGAGCCTTTTCATCTCCCAGCTGCTTCCAGACTGACAAGTGCCATGGAAAAACAGCTCCTTTCTGTGTTTGGGGGGAAAAGGGAAATCACCATTTGGTTCCTCTCCGGAGGGCTCATGAGTGCCATTTTACGAGCGGCAGAAGGTTCCTGTGGTGTCATCCTCCTTGAAGGAGAAGAGATGACACAGAGAGTTGGATGGTGGGAATTTGGAGAAGGGAACCACGCTTTAACCCCTTCATTTTTTTCATGTCACGAGCCAGAAGGCTAAAATACAAATTGTCCAAAGCTGCCAGTTAATAGCTAGCTCAATAATTCTTAATATTACTCTTTTAAAAAGCAAGTTGCCTTCAGTAATTATTGAATCCATCCTAAAATGATACTTGTTTTCTTCGCTTGGTGCAGCTCCAGTCCCTGAAATGAAATCACTCCTCTGTGGAAGCGACTCTGTGGTTTAAAATGAGCTCAGATTCTTAATTAAGAAATTCAGCCACTGAGCTATTTGCAGAGGCAAATTGTGCAGCGCTGCATAAGCTTTTGGTATTGTAGAAACCCACAATAAATGTGATTGCATTGAAAATGCTTGAGCGATGGGATGTTCTTCCCAAAGCAGAAGAAATGGCCCTTGTGCATCTTGCCCTGTGTGTTGCTTTTGGTTTATCTTGCTTTTTCTTTCAGAACCTTGATGGTAAGAGACGTTCAACCTCATCTGTGCGCATGTTACTCTGCAGTGTGGCTAAGGCTTAAATAGAGATCCCAACTAGTGTTTTATACTCCTGGAAAAATTCCCCTTTAGTAGCTTTTCCAGGGCTCTGACAGCAGCTGAAGGCTCTTCCTTTAGAATTATTACCATGTGTGGTCAGATTCTTCCACCACCAACCCTCCTCCAGGCTGCTGGAGGTGACACGTGCGAGTCCCGAGGCAAGGATTAGCAGCAGAGCATGAAAACCTTGTGTAGGCAGAACTGCAGGTGAACGTTTGCCTCGTCGGTCCTCTGGCTTTGAAAGCTGAGCCCTTCTATTTCCCCCCCCCCTTTTTGGCCAGGAAGTTTTTTTTTAAAAAAGCAAAACAAGTGGAAAACCCAAGATGAAGGTGCAGTTTGGCTACTGCCAGCGAGATCGCTGCAGAGGAGGAGACAGTGCTGCTCCCAGTCCCCAGTCATCTCCTGCATGAGTTTGATACTTTTTTATTTAGCTTTTTTTAAAAAAAAAAAAAAAAAGTCGGACCCCGCTGGGCACCGAGTGCCTCTGGGAGGTGCAGAGCAGCCCCGGCCCCGGGGGTGCCTGGATGGTGGATTTGGGAATCACATTCCTGCAGCTCCCCATGTCCCATCTCCTTCCAGCCAGGCAGTGCCTGCTCCACCTCTGACACCCAGCTCAGCTCCAGGGACATCCCCTCTCTCTTTCCACCCTACCAAGAATTACAAACCCCGGGAGCTTGAGACAACAAAAAAACCCTGGATTCCAGGAGTGAAGTCAGTTCCTCATTTGTTTTGTTAAAAAAAAAAAAAAAAAAAACAGTAAAATTTCTTTACTCTTTTATTTTTTAGTGGCAGTTTGGCTTTTTTAATTTTCTCCCACCCACAGATCAGGTTGCAGCTGTGGGATACTGCGGGTCAGGAACGTTTCCGTAGCCTCATTCCCAGTTACATCCGTGACTCTGCCGCTGCTGTAGTAGTTTACGATATCACAAGTAGGTATATTGCACTGGGTTTGACCTTTTTTTTTTTTTTTTTTTTTTTTTTTTTTTTTTTTTATTATTTTTCTTGCTTGTTTGACTGATTTTGTTAGGTACGGTTGCAATTATGGGACACAGCAGGTCAAGAACGGTTCAGGAGCTTGATTCCTAGCTACATTCGTGACTCCACTGTTGCAGTTGTTGTTTATGATATCACAAGTGAGTGGGGGGAATTCTGCATTTCTAATACTCTGCCCATTTCATCCTCTAGCCTAGCTTTGCATGTCCTATCGCCCTCATCTGCTTGTTCTTCGTCCTGGCATGAATAAAAACCCCACCTTTTTATATCGTTTGTCAAGTTTTCAACTCCCCCATGGGCTGCCCTCGTGATGTAGAATCTGTTTTACAAACCACATCGTTTTTGTAACCCTTCCCTGTTGCATCCTCCCCGAAGCCTTGAGTCCTGCCTGGTCTCGTTGCACTTTTCCCCTCTTTCATTTGCTTTTTTTTTTGATCGTAATATCATCTATGACTTTTGGTCTCAAACACCTGAATCATGTTCATAGATTAATTCTTAAATTAGAGACTTTGCACTGAAAGCCGAAGCTTGCTTCACTCCATTTGCCCTCCCTCCCCCCCCCCCCCCCAAACAAATAACGGGGGTGAAAAATGCATTAACATCCCATTTTCATTTGAATCAGTCACTTTCACATTTTGCAATATGTAAAACTTAACTACTGAGCCCTTTTAACAATTGCTCTTTCCATTTCTTACTAAGGTATGTACATTTTTGTCAACTAAAATATTAGTGCTTTTTCACCCCTTCTCTTTCTGTGCCTCCCCTCAGTCCAGAGCCCCCCTAACTTACTAGTTTTCTGTACTTAAAAAGAACAGAAATGTTATTTTAGGAGAACTAAAACCTTCAGACACTTTTAGTCCTAAAGCAGAATTGACTGAGAGCAATGGCCTCATTCTATAGAAATGCAAAAGCGCTCGTTCCTTTGATTTATAAACACTAGAAAGATAACTGCAGGAATATGGGATTTACCTAGAAAAGCTTTAATTGTTAAAAATAGCACTTTGAGCTAAAATTATAGGTTACCTGTGAACTTTGAACTTTTTTTTACTGACCTAGCAAATTCATTATGACCAAGTAGGAAAGAGAAGAATTAAGCCGCTGGCAAACGATCGAGTCTTGGCTGTCTGGCACAGAATATATTACTATGCAGTAGAAGCCATTAAAAAAAATAAAAATCAATACTCATCAAGAACTGCTGCAGATTTCCCCCCCCCCCCCTTTTTTTTTTAACTACATTGGCAGCTCAGATGCATTTTGTGTAGGTTTTCCTCACAGGAGGCAACTTTTCAAATGATGTAGTGTCTCATTGGAAGAGGAAAGCTTCCCAAAATTCTTACCTTGCAGCTTTGAGGGATGTATCATTAAGAAAAAAAATGGCTGGGGGTAGGTTAAATTTGGATTTTTTTGGTTCTATGCAAATGATTTGGAAACTATTTTGAACTTGCCAATCAATGATACAGGAGTTGCAAGCGTGTTGGAGGGATGCAACTTTTCAAATGATGTAGTGTCTCACTAGAAGAGGAAAGCTTCCCAAAATTCTTACCTTGCAGCTTTGAGGGATGTATCATTAAGAAAAAAAATGGCTGGGGGTAGGTTAAATTTGGATTTTTTTGGTTCTATGCAAATGATTTGGAAACTATTTTGAACTTGCCAATCAATGATACAGGAGTTGCAAGCGTGTTGGATAACCCTGCTATTTCCTATCCTGAACCCTAGCAAGTAGAAATTAATTAAGCTGTACGAAGTGTGTAGCTGGTATTAAGTACTTTTGAGAAGCAAACTCAAAAAAGAAGTACTTTTGAGAAGAAACTGTAGGAAGCTCGTGCTGTAGATGCACAAGCCGTGAGCAGCCTAGAATGCAATATCACATTAATCCCCTTCTCTATATAAAATATTTAATATTAAACTAAAGAAAAAAAGAAAAAAGGGCACTGGTTTAAAACACAGTGATAAGACTTCTCATTTTAGATGCTGTCGAAACCAAATTATAGATCATCTCAGTTCACTCTCTGGCTTTGAATTCATCTGTAATTAAGTTGGGTTTTTTTAAGTTAATGCCAAAGTTTTCATGTACTTCATTGTGGGACACTTAGGGTTTCACTTGCTGATTCTTCATCACCCTGTTAAGCCAATTCCAGAGAATGTGAAACTTTTATTTAAGACTTAGAGATGTGTTTACGGGTGACCTGTGAAGAAGACCCGCGGTGATAAATCTCTCCGCTGTTCTCTGGTAGATGTAAACTCCTTCCAGCAAACAACAAAATGGATTGATGACGTCAGAACGGAACGGGGCAGCGATGTCATCATTATGCTGGTGGGAAATAAAACAGACCTAGCAGATAAGAGGTATGAAGGAACAATATCTTTCAAAGTGCTTTTCTTAATTTGCTGTTTTCTAATAGACAACTGTTTTAAAAAGAATAATTGTATTTATTTGTTTTTTCCCCAAAAGCTAAAGCTTTTTTTAATGATGCTGTGACTAGAGAAATCTCAATTTTAAAACTCATTTCATTTGGCTAAGCACAAGTTTCCAGCACGATGCTGTGAGTGAGTTGAGAAACTGTTGCCAACTTGTTCAGATGTCAGAGAGGCATCTGATCTCAGGGTGGCAGAGCCCTGGAAGAGGCTGCCCAGAGAGGTGGTGGAGTCTCCTTCTCTGGAGACATTCAGACCCCCCCGGACACGTTCCTCTGGCTGAGGGACTTGGGGCTTTTTAGTCTGGAGAAGAGAAGGCTGAGGAGGGATCTGATCAACACCTCTAAATCCTTCAAGGGTGGGTGTCAGGAGGATGGGGCCAGGGTTTTTTCAGTGGTGCCCAGGGACAGGACAAGAGGAAATGGGCACAAACTTGACCATAAGAAGTTCCATCTCAACATGAGGAGGAACTTCTTTCCTGTGAGGGTGGCAGAGCCCTGGCAGAGGCTGCCCAGAGAGGTGGTGGAGTCTCCTTCTCTGGAGACCTTCAAACCCCACCTGGACACATTCCTGTGCAACCTGCTCTGGGTGGCCCTGCTCTGGCAGGGAGTTGGACTGGATGATCTCCAGAGGTCCCTTCCAACCCCACATCATTCTTTGATTTTGTGAGAGAATGGAGCATCAACTACAACCCACATCAGCAAATGAATGAGCTAAAGTCACTGCAAATATTCATGCTTAATAGATTTGCTCAGATAAAAATGGTAGCTGCAAGTGATCTTCCCTTTGAAAACCCTTCAGAGGTTTTCATAAGTTGCCAAACTTAAATATTTTTATTAGAAGCTGTGCAACTTCAGGTTTTGCTACGTTGTGTGGATGTTAATTCTGGGTTTATGGTGTTCTTAACGCAAATGAGTAAAAAGTCACAAAGGTAAAACAGGACAGAGAGAAGCAGGACAGAGGAGTATTCTGAATTTGATTGAAATCCCTGTTTCCTCAGAATAACTTCACTAATAAACCTTTACTTCAGATTTATAACGTTCTGTTAAGAATTGTTTATGCACATGTGAACCACTTATATGTAGGGAAAAAAAACATTAAATGCTTTCAGAACTGTTACCTCCTTGGGTTGAAGATGAAAATCTTAATTTTCAAGGTGTTTGTCTATCTTTTTTCCTGATTCTGTGTTATCTTCCCTAGACAAGTGTCCATTGAGGAAGGAGAAAGAAAAGCCAAAGAGCTGAATGTAATGTTCATTGAAACTAGTGCAAAAGCAGGATACAACGTAAAACAGGTGAGTGAGGTGTTGGCTGCATCCAGCCTTGAGTCTCCCTCTGTTATTAGAGCTCTGTTGTGGAAATTGGACTTCCCTGGGCACCAGGAGACCTTTGCAGAGGGTGTTGGAGGGACATTGGTAGACCATACGCAACATCTTGGGGTTGACCTGTTGGCTGAGGACCTTGCAGCAAATGACTCGGAACTTCCTTCCCTTTAGAAAAGAGGAATTATTGAAGAAGCTTTGTTGGGTGCAAGACTCTTCATAATCCAGATTTGGTGTTTAGTTTGAAAGGATTAAGGCATGAGCCCCAAGATTGGGGAAACACAGGTGTGAGGACTGTTTGTGATACCGGTTCAGTGAATGAATGCGGGCAAAACCAGTCAAGGAGCGATGTGGTGGCTTAAAATGGTTCCACTGTACAGTGAGACAGTGTGACCACGTGTTACAACCACAAGGAGCTGAATAATTACTGAGGGAGATCTTCATACCCCCTTACTGCTCCTTACAGCTCCATCCCATCGCTGCACCAGCGGTGCCCAGTGACAGGGATAGAGGAAATGGGCACAAACTTGAACATAGGAAGTTCCATCTCAACATGAGGAGGAGGAACTTCTTCACTTTGAGGGTGGCAGAGCCCTGGAAGAGGTTGCCCAGAGAGGTGGTGGAGTCTCCTTCTCTGGAGACATTCAAACCCCACCTGGACACGTTCCTGTGGGACCTGCTCTGGGTGGCCCTGCTCTGGCAGGGGGTTGGACTGGATGATCTCCAGAGGTCCCTTCCAACCCCAGATCATTCTGGGATTCTGTAAACCGGTGGAAGGCACTGAAAGTGTGAGCAAATGTTCTTGGACAACATAAACTATTTCTGGTAGATGATGAGTTGCTTTTGAACCAGAGAAAGCAACGAAATGTCTCTTAAGCTGATGCAACTGCAACAAAATCTGATTTTATGTTGTGAGATGAGCGGCAGCTCTTTAAATTCTGACCTCGCCGAGGTTTTAGCGGTTGTGTTAATGATAATGAAGATAAATCACTTGATTTACTCCATCACTCAGATGGAGTTGTGACTCGCTAAAGCATTTGGCAGCTGGTCTTATGGTAGGAGGAAAAGCAGGAGTGAAAGATGTAGAAGACATTAATTCTTGGGAGCAAACACACAGACAGACATATATGTATGTATAGAATCCCATCAATATTTTGCATAGATATAGTAACACAAATACATTGTGCAGAAACGTATCAGAAGTTGCTAAAATGGGGGTTATAATACAGACAGGACTAAAGGGTCTATTATTAAAATGTCCCTTGACTTTGTATATTAGAAGCAAAATTATTCCCTATATAATGGAATAATTAGACGTGTTAACTTAGCACTGCGTCTGAGCGCCTTAACGAGCACAGAAGTGTTCCGTTCCAGGCTCCACCAATTATCCTGCCACAACACAGAGACTTGTAATTAAGGCTTGGATTCTGTGTGGAAATCCTTAATGTTTACTTAGACTTGAGAGCACTTGCCTGGCTGAGAGGAATGATGATGATGATGATGATGAAGCTCTGTACTCCCTCTTCCCTTGAGGGACCTGCTGACACGTTTCCAGAAGCCCGTGTCCAAGCCTTTAAAGGTACTTTGTGGCTTCCAGGGCCTGATGTTTTGGGATATAAGTAGGAAAATCTCATCTAGGATGCCTGGAGTCCATTTTAGTGTAAGATACTGTCGTTTTAATAAAACATGGGCTTCGTAAAGCTACCACAGCCTTCATCACGAAGGACGGTAGCTCCATTTAATACATTATGAAGGAGAGAACATTTCCTTTTTGTATTTTATCCCAAAGCCGTTCAGGGATTGTACTAATGAGATTGTCAGAGCATAAAGCCATTTCTGTAGCTGTAGCCTCACTTACACACTCTCTAGAGCAAATTCTTAGTTGGATAACAGAGGTCTAGATAAATTATGCCTCTGATTTTAATTGCCAGGTTACATGCTGTAAGACTATTTCGGTGAGAAAATAGGTTTGATAATAAAAAGTGGTGGTGGGAATACTTGGACCCGTGCTGTTTAATATATTCATCAGTGACCTGGACGAAGGGACAGAGTGTATCCTCAGCAAGTTGGCTGATGATACCAAACTGGGAGGGGTGGTTGACACCCCGGAGGGCCATGCTGCCATCCAGCGAGACTTGGACAGGCTGGAGGGCTGGGCAAGGAAGAACCTCATGAGGTTCAACAGGGAAAAGTGTAAGGTCCTGCACCTGGGGAAGAAAAATGTCAGGTACCAGTA